AGTGGGACAGGGCCCTGTGTGACGGGGAGTCGCTCAGTGGGACAGGGCCCTGTGTGACGGGGAGTCGCTCAGTGGGACAGGGCCCTGTGTGACGGGGGGATCGCTCAGTGGGACAGGGCCCTGTGTGACGGGGGGATCGCTCAGTGGGACAGGGCCCTGTGTGACGGGGGGATCGCTCAGTGGGACAGGGCCCTGTGTGACGGGGGGGTCGCTCAGTGGGACAGGTCCCTGTGTGACGGGGACTTGCTCAGTGGGACAGGGCTATATGGAAAATGGAGTGACTGTATGGGGCAGGGGTGCGTGTAGTAGGGAGGTGCTCAGTATTCTAGGTCTGGGGCATCGTGCTGGTTGCTGGAAGAACTGTAAGGATGTGTCTTCTGCTTGCTGTGCTGCAGGAATGGCCCCAGGACAGCTCTACACTTACCCTGCTCGTCGCTGGAGGAAGAAGAGGAGGGCACATCCCCCTGAGGACCCACACCTTAGCTTCACAGCTCTTAAACCAGGTACCCACAAGGATAGACTCTGTGGAAATCTGTGAATATGGCAGCCTGAGGGAGTAGCATCAGGAGTTCTTGCCTAGTGTAGGGCCTGCTGCTCTGGATGTGGTACATCCCTACAACTCCCAGATCAGTGAAGTCACCGTGGTAACAGGCACCGACCCTGTGGCAGCCATCTTGAGCAATGTTCAGTGTTGGTAATTTGTTTCTTTCTCACAGCCAGAGCTCCCACAGGATGGCGACTTCGTACCCTTCCAGCTGAGTGCTGTCCCCATGCAGCTACCTGACCCTCAGGCCTGCACTCCATTCGGGAGGTTCCAGAGGAATCAGTCATCCAGAATCCCACTTCACTCCATATCTAACCCTGTGCTGTCCCTGTCCTGGGTGTGTTTGATGGTGGTGGGGACAGTGTAGAGGGAGCTTTACTCTGTATCTAACCCCGTGCTGTCCCTGTCCCTGGGAGTGTTTGATGAGGGGACAGTGTACAGGGAGCTTTACTCTGTATCTAACCCCGTGCTGTCGCTGTCCCTGTCCCTGTCCCTGGGAGTGTTTGATGTGAGGGGACAGTGTACAGGGAGCTTTACTGTGTATCTAACCCTGTGCTGTCCCTGTCCTGGGAGTGTTTGATGGGGGACAGTGTGCAGGGAGCTTTACTCTGTATCTAACCCCGTGCTGTCCCTGTCCTGGGAGTGTTTGATGCGGGGAACAGTGTAGAGGGAGCTTTACTCTGTATCTAACCCTGTGCTGTCCCTGTCCTGGGAGTGTTTGATGTAGGGTACAGTGTAGAGGGAGCTTTACTCTGTATCTAACCCCGTGCTGTCCCTGTCCTGGGAGTGTTTGATGTAGGGTACAGTGTAGAGGGAGCTTTACTCTATAACCACTTGTGCTATATTCCATAATTGAAAGCAGTGCCCCTGATGTGTTATCGTACAGATGATGAAGAGAAGTGTTTGAAATGAGGAGGTGTCACCCTATTCCTGGGCTCCTTGCTGTGAGCTGGTTTCTCTTTCATCCACAGAGCTAGATTTGGGCCTGAAGAAGGATGTTTTGGTGCCCCCTGATGGCAGCAGCCTGGAGGCCTTACTGCGAGGAGAGGCTGTGGAGAAACAGCGAGGAATATCTGACCACCGAGATGATGACAGTCTTAATGACTACCCTGTGAACAACAGCCGTGCCAGGAAGGTGTGTACAGTCTCAGCACAGAGACATAACCCTACAGTAAAGGGTCAGCCATGCTAGGAAGGTGTGTACAGTCTCAGCACAGAGACATAACCCTACAGTAAAGGGTCAGCCGTGCTAGGAAGGTGTGTACAGTCTCAGCACAGAGACATAACCCTAGAGTAAAGGGTCAGCCGTGCTAGGAAGGTGTGTACAGTCTCAGCACAGAGACATAGCCCTATAGTAAAGGGTCAGCTGTGCCAGGAAGGTGTGTACAGTCTCAGCACAGAAGCATAACCCTACAGTAAAGGGTCAGCCATTTCACACAGATGAGGAGGAATTTCCTCTCTGAGGATAGTGAATCTGTGGAATTCTTTACTGCAAAGGGTTGGCCTAGTGATACTATCTCTAGACTCTTAATCCAGCAGCTCAGCTGCTCTGGGGACCTGGGTTCAAATCTCACCATAGCAATTGGTGGAATTTGAATTCAATAAAACATATCTGGAATTAAGAATGTACTGCTCAGCATGAACTCCCATTGTCGATTGTGGGGAAAAGCCAGTCTGGCTCATTAATGTCCTTACCTGGTCTGGCCTATGTGTGACTCCAGACCCACAGCAATGTGGTTGACTCTTAACTGCCCTCTGAAATGGCTGAGCAAGCCATTCAGTTGAATCAATTGCTAAGAAGTCTCAACAGAGAAATTAAACTGGTTGGAACCCCTGGCATTCACCTAGGCACTGGAAAAGACAACCGCATATACAGACCCTGTAAAGTCCTTCTGACTAAAGTGTGGGGCCTTGTGCCAAAATTGGGAGAGCTGTCTCACAGACTAGTCAAGCAACAGCTTGACACAGTCATACTCCCAGGCAATGGCCCCTACACCACCATCAACGGCAGGACAGACCCAGCAGAGGGGTGTGTCACAGTGGGATACAGTCTGGAGGGGAGTTGCCCTGGGTGTCCTCAACATTGACTCTGGACCCCATGAAGTCTCGTGGCTTCAGGTTAAAATGTACTCTGGGTGGGGGATTTCAATGTCCACCACCAAGAGTGGCTCAGCAGCAGTACTACTGATCGAGCTGCTCGGATCCTAAAGGAGTGGCAGCATCAGAGGAGTAGGAAAGTCGACGTTTTGGGTCAGTCCTGACTGAAAGTATTGGGTTTCCTACGCCTCGGATGCTGCCTGGACTGCTGTGTTCCTCCAGCTCCACACTGTGTTGACTCTGACTCCATTTGCAGTTCCTAAAGGACATAGCTGCTAGAGTAGGTCTGCGGCAGGTGGTGAGGAAACCAACAAGAGGGAGAAACATACTTGACCTCATCCTTATTCATCTGCCAATTATAGATTCATCAGTCCATGACATTATTGGTAAGAGTGACAACCGCACAGTCCTTGAGGAGATGAGGTCCTGCCCCTACACTGAGAATGACCTCCATCGTGTTGTGTGGCACTGTCACCATGCTAAGTGGGACAGACTTCACACAGATCTAGCAACTAAAGACAACAGCAGTAGAATTGTACTCCCAGGACAATCTGTAACCTCATGGCCCAGGATATCCCCTACTCAGCCATTACCATCAAATCAGGGGGTCAGCCCTGGTTCATTGGAGAGTGCAGGAGGGTGTGCCAGGAGCAGCACCAGGCATACCTGAAAATGAGGTATCAATCATCATTAAAGTAATGGAAGGTGTCAGTAACTTAATAGAGACATACAAGATGATCAGAGGATTAGATAGCGTGGACAGTGAGAGCCTTTTTCCTCCGATGGTGATGACTAGCACAAGGGGACATAGCTTTAAATTGAGGGGTGATAGATATAGGACAGATGTCAGAGGTAGGTTATTTACTCAGAGAGTAGTAAGGGCGTGGAATGCCCTGCCTGCAAAAGTAG